GCGGGGGCCCACCTGAGAGGCAGGCCTCCGGGGAGCTCTTCTCCAGGTTTAGGGTTAGGGTTAGGGTTAGGGTTAGGGTTAGGCAGGAGCCCACCTGAGAGGCAGGCCTCCGGGGAGCTCTTCTCCAGGGTTATGGTTAGGGTTAGGGTTAGGGTTAGGCGGGGCCCACCTGAGAGGCAGGCCTCCGGGGAGCTCTTCTCCAGGATGCCGGTGGGGTCTGAGATGAGCGAGTAGAAGTTGAGCAGCTTGTACATGTTCTGCCAGCACTCGGCCGACGGCTCGCTCTGCTCCGACACCGTGATCGAGTCCGAGTCGTCCATCTGGATGGTCATGTGGTCGGCCACGTCCCGGGAGCCCTTCCTGGACACCTGGGGACCAGAAACCAGCTCAGCCAGGAGGCTGCTGACCCTAACCCTAACCCTAACCCAGAAACCAGCTCAGCCAGGAGGCTGCTGACCCTCTGAGGCCTCCTGGGACCCAGCAGCAGCTCCAGAAACACCAGCCCACCCCACAGAGGCAGCCTAACCCTAACCCTAACCCTAACCCTAACCCTAACCTAAGGCTGACAGTCAGAGAGAACTCAAAAGATCTAAATAGATTTAAAAGATAGTTATCACTAGTAATATTAGTTACTGCTCCGGTTATTACAAATATTACTAGCTACTGCTCTGGTTATCACTAGTAATACTAGTTACTGCTCTGTTTATCACTAGTAATAATAATTAGTGCCCTAGTTATCACTAGTAATAATAGTTAGTGCTCTGGTTATGACCAATAATAATAGTTAGTGCTCTGGCAAATACTAGTAATGCTAATCATTACTTGAGTTATGACTAGTAAAAATAGTTATTGCTCTGGTTATCACTAGTGAAAATATGTTCTTAACTAATTAGCACTAATTATACTAGTTCCTGCTCTAGTTATCACTAGTAGTAATAGTTACTGTTCTGGTTATCGCTAATAATACGAGTTATTGCTCTGGTTATCACTAGTAATAATAGTTACTGTTCTGGTTATCACTAGTAATACTGGTTACTGCTCTGGTTTTCACTAGTAATACTGGTTACTGCTCAAGTTATCACTAGTAATAATAGTTAGTGCTCTGGTTATCACTAGTAATACTGGTTACTGCTCCAGTTATCACTAGTAATAATAATTAGTGCTCTGGTTATCACTAGTAATACTGGTTACTGCTGAGGTTACCACTAGTAATAATAGTTAATGCTCTGGTTATCACTAGTAATACTGGTTACTGCTCCAGTTATCACTAGTAACAATAGTTACTGCTCTGGTTATCACTAGTAACAATAGTTACTGCTCTGGTTATCACTAGTAATACTGGTTACTGCTCCAGTTATCACTAGTAACAGTAGTTAATACTCTGGTTATCACTAGTAATACTGGTTACTGCTTTGGTTATCACTAGTAATACTAGTTACGGCTATAGATATCACTAGTAATAGCAGTCACTGCTGAAGTTATAACTAGTAATACTAGTTATTGCTATAGATATTACTAGTAATAACAGCTACTGCTCAAGTTATCACTAGTAATAATAGCTACTGCTCTGGTTATCACTAGTAATACTAGTTACTGCTATAGATATCACTAGTAACAATAGTTACTGCTATAGATATCACTAGTAACAATAGTTACTATTCTGGTTATCACTAGTAACCGTAGTTACTACTCTGGATATCACTAGTAATACTGGTTACCTCTCTGGTTATCACTAGTAATACTAGTTACTGCTCCAGTTATCACTAGTAATACTAGTCACTACTTTAGTTTTTCACTAGTAATAATAGCTACACTCAAGTTATCACTAGTAATAATAGCTACACTCAAGTTATCACTAGTAATACTAGTCACTACTTTAGTTATCACTAGTAATACTAGTTACTGCTCTGGTTATCACTAGTAACACTAGTTACTGCTTTGGTTATCACTAGTAATACTAGTTACTGCTCTAGTTATCACTAGTAATACTAGTTACTGCGCTGGTTATCACTAGTAATACTGGTTACTGCTCTGGTTGTCACTAGTAATAATAGTTAGTGCTATGGTTACCACAAGTAATACTGGTTAGGTCTCTGGTTATCACTAGTGGTACTGGTTAGGTCTCTGGTTATCATTAGTATTAATACCAGGGACCGGCTCTGTCCCGTCTGGGTGAATGTCTGGTGTGTTGTCATGTCTTGATTACCTATTGTGTTCACCTGGGGTTCCCCTCCCTCATGTGGTTAAATAGTCCTGTTTCCCATGTCCTGGGCCAGTGCGTTTGCGTCTCTCGTCCCTCGTCTTTCGTCTCCCCATGTCACCTAAGGTTTTGCTTTTTGCCATAGTCTTATTTACATTGTTCCATAGCCATGTTTTTTCACAGCTTTGTTTTTGAACCTTGTCTGGACTTCCACCCTTTTGAGTATTTTTTGTTCCAATAATCCCTGTTTTACTCATCTCCGCGCCTGAGTCCTCCATCAAGATCCACCCCCCTGACCGGCTCACCTTTGAGGTGCGGCGCTCGGAGCGCCCCAGTGAACTGCGTCCTCGGGGCTCCCTTCGCCCCAGCGTGTCCATGCCGGGCGCCGCCCCGCTGGGGGGCAGGCCTCCGCCCCCCCCGGCCCCTCCGGCCCCGCCCCCCCCGGCCCCCCCGGCCCCGCCCCTCTTGCCCTTCAGCGTCTGCGGGGCGCTGCGGGCCGCCCCGTTCAGGCTGCCCCGGGAGCTGCGGCTGAAGTCGGAGGAGCGGAAGTGGCGGTGGGGGCGGGGCCTGATGGGCGTGGGCGAGGCGGAGCCCGCCGTGTAGCGGTTCAGCTTGATGTCGGTCTGCGTGGCCTTGATGTCGTCGATCATGGTGCTGAACTGGTGGATGAGGCGCACCAGCGCCATGTCCACGCGCTGGCTGATGGCCTGGCAGGCCGTGGTGAAGTCGCAGTGCAGGGTGTTGTAGTGGCGGCGGCTGAGGTCGTGGAAGGACAGCGGCGCGGCGCCGGGGCCCTGAGGAGCGGCGCTGGACTTCTCCATCACCACCGCGTTCACGCTGAACGTCTCGATCAGCAGCGCCGGCTTGAACTCCAGCGGGGGCAGGTTCACCATCCCCTGTCTGAAAAGGTCACGCACTGAGTCAGCTCCTTTCAGCCAATCAGAGGAGGCTCAGAAAAGCTTCAGTTTCAGCGCAGTCTGTTTGGATCCTCGTCTGGATGGTCGGGTCATGCCATCAAAGACACCAAACATCCGAAAAGGATGGACATACGGACTAGAAAAAGGCTCAAAGAGAGAATCTTTTAAAGAAAACAAAAATCAACCACAACCACAAAAAAGATGCAGTACAAAAATATAAAAAAGAGGATGCAAATATACAAAAAGGTACAAAAATAGAAAAAAAGAATACTTAAAAGATCCAAGATGGAAAAAAGAGGACACAAATTTACAACCAAGATAAAATAGAAGGACAAAACAGAAAACACCAAAAAAAGACCATATTCAGTCTATTCTCAATGATTTTTCAACTTTCTGGGCTGCCTTAAGTTAGTTTTTGTGTCGTCTTTTTTTCAGAGCTGAAAGTGAACTGGCTCTCAGCCTCTGGAGGAGAAACCTTCCTGTAGGGGAAACGAGGCGAAGGCCTGGAGCTCTGCGTGAGGGACCAGCGGACCCAGAGCTCCAGCCGCCTAACCCTAACCCTAACCCTAACCCACCTCTTGGAGCGCTTGTTTTTGCGCTCTTTGGACGTGTCCGAGTCCACGATGTCGGCGCGCAGGCACTCCAGGTTCCCGGAGAAGGACAGGTGCTCCCCGAAGTACATCCTGTAGCTCAGCGGGGGGGCGTCCTGGGCCTGGATGCCCGTGTAGCTCAGCAGGGGCTTGAACACCACCTGGGGAGAGCGGCGGCCATGTTGGAGCGAGCAGGAGGG